CCTCTTTTTGGTGACACAAAAGCGACCAAAATAAATCTGCTGCGCCCATTGCAGTATTTGGGATCTTTACCTTTCTATCTACCTCTAACTACCTTTTTATTTCCTAGCGCCTTACTTGGCAATACCTCACTTTTGGCCTTAATGTTGAGCGTTCGCCCAGGTGAGGAAGGCAATAGGTTCTGTCCCATACCAAAGTCCTTAAAAATGGTAGTTGTTATTCCTTGCTTAACGTTCAGCATTAAGGGGAATGGCAACAACTGGTTCAACCTTTGTCAGTATAATGTGGCCGGGCGGAATGCTGTGCTGGTACCTTCGGCATGGTGAGATAGCACTACAAAGTCGGCATCAGATCCGCGCAAGCACACCAACATACCCTGTCTCCTGCATACACATACGTAAGCACGCATACACTACACACATGGAGGCACGTCCTTAAATGACCTTAGCTGTTAATGGGACATTAAACAAAATAAAACCAAACCAAACCAAACTGGTCGTTCCAGGCGCAGTCTTAATACGGAATAAGGTAGTGACATTTCCTTCCTGAGGCACTATGAAATGTCCTTGAACGATTCTATTGCTAATATACACAATGGTTGTATAGCTATAGAAAGAATCCAACAAACAAAATATATACCATAAACGCCAATAAACAATCATAAAAATGAAATCCAAAGTCTTTATAAAACAAATTCACGGGAACAGAAGAGACGCCCGAAGAAAATGTAAATCATATCAACTCATTATACAAAACAGGAGGCAATATCTTGTTTGTTGTATGTTTGTATCGTGACAGTAAACCAGACTTAATCTTCTGCCCCAATCAACACACCCTTTACTGGCGTACCCTTCCTTGTTTCGGCAGTGTGACCTTAGTTACCCATATAACCATGGATGTTATGAGCACGTTAAACCCCAAACCAATCAATGTAGAGTGACATAAACTAAATTGAACTTTTTAGTAAAATGGTGAACAACCTTTGCGTACAATAATGTAAAAGTAAATATCCAATAGTTTTTTACGCCATGAATTCAAATCAGTATAAAATGAAATTGGATTTCGAATATGTTCAGTGATTTCGGATAGCAAATGAATATTCAGCTTTTACAAAAAAAACCACTGTTGTTCTAAATATAGCAATGTGTATAGCAAACCAGTTTAGTTGATGCGAGAATGACAAATAAGAAGGTCGTCACGATGTCTGCTGCCAGATAAAGGAAAGTATCGCGGTCTCGATTGATCAAAGACACAGGTAATATATATCTTAAATCAATGCAGACAACACGTTAACATTTAAACAATGTAATAGTCATCATTTGGTCTCGTTTCATTTTGAAAATGTCTGATTTTTCTAAGTTGGCAAAAAGTATGGTACAATTTATGAATGATAATCTAGGCTCTGGCGTTTAGTTTTTCTTACAGCAAAAGACATGACGTGAAAGTCATCCAGGAAGTGTAATTGTAAAAAGAGGTTTGTGTAAAACCAAATCCGCCTGACACATTACTTAGATTAAAGAGTTTTTGCAATCAAGACATATCATGTCATAAATGACGCCTGACTGTCTTATTATCATGTGACTCATTTGAGGACAAGATCAGAGGCGGTATTTTTAGATTGAATTTTATATAACATTCGTAGTTGACGTATTGCTCTATCTGAAATATATTTTAGTTTGAATAAATGTGCAATTTAGAGAGAGAGAAAATCTTATTTTGTATCAAAAAGATTTCCACTAAGCCTTGGTAATCTTTGCATATCGACATTTTCTAAAGAGAATACGGAAATGGAGAAATTGAATTATTCATGTCCGTATATACAGTCAAGATGCGTTTTAAATGACTTCCGCACTAACGAATACTCTGGTAGCAAAAAGGTCTATAATTACGGAATATGCCCTATTTGATAATGAAGTTGTCGACCTGTGTAGAAATTTAACATTAAATGTATCCATTTGGTAATTTTCTAATGATTTTTAATAGCAAAAGAGTGAAGATCTATGACTTAAGTGTTCCGGAACATAAATATCAATACAATATAAAGGTATCGATAAATCTCTATTCATAACTTTTGGTAAAATGACACATGATTTGTTAAGAAGTATCTTGTGGAAGCTTTTTCAAAGGGTTTTCCATTTGCAAAGTTAGAAACATAATTTTAGAAATAAGTGATCGAGTTTAATGTTTCGTTACTTTACTGTTCTGCTATTGTATAAGCTTCAGTATCATAATTCTGTTCTAATTAGCAAGTATCACATCGTGATTTCTCTCCGATACAAAGTTTTATTTTATGCCCCTGCATATACAGGAAATAATTGACCTGCTGTATCCCACTGCGTGTCGTAAGATGCGACATATTTAAGGGCCTGCAATATCGCGGGATGTTTTCTTTGGTGTTTCCTGCTTAAGGAACATCATGGAAACCGATAATAATCTGCTTCCCCGTCTGAACGCTATGGATTTCAGCTTGACTATAACTTTGAAAAAAACATTTAAAAAAGAAAACCATACCTTGCGGGACTTGTTCGGGAAATAATGAACATGAAATGAACAATACAATATCAACAACAGTTATCTGAGTGTACAACAACAGTGAGCAGAGTGTACAACAACAGTGAGCAGAGTGTACAACAACAGTGATCAGTGTACAACAACAGTGATCAGTGTACAACAACAGTGAGCAGAGTGTACAACAACAGTGATCAGTGTACAACAACAGTGAGCAGAGTGTACAACAACAGTGATCAGAGTGTACAACAACTGAGCAGAGTGTACAACAACAGAGAGCAGAGTGTACAACAACAGTGAGCAGAGTGTACAACAACAGTGAGCAGAGTGTACAACAACAGGGAGCAGAGTGTACAACAACAGTGAGCAGAGTGCACAACAACAGAGAGCAGAGTGTACAAAAATTCAAAACAGTTGGATACGACGGAAAATTTCTTTCCTGGACCTGAATGGAATGTCAAAATGATAGTCATTGTCTTTGCCATCGACAATGGAGCGAAAGAAACACTCTGATATAGATCCGTACAACTACAGTTCTTGAGACGTCAATCAACAACAATATACCCGGATTAAGGGATTTCCCTCCTAAAAGCTGCATGGAAAGGCACGAATAAAGTATATTCTCGTGAGAAACCCCCCATGGATCAAATGAACATGAAAACGAAGGGTATCCGTTATTCTCATTGAAGTACCTGTTCCCTGTTCTGTCATTGCGCTCTTCTATTTCCTCCAAATTCAATCCTGGATGAATGAAATATTGAAGAACACGCTGATTAATATAATATTTTCCTAACTTGAGGGCGTGACAGAGACATCTCCAACCCGAGGGGGGATGTTTTTTGGTTGTCTAAACCGAGGCTCTGCAGAGGGTTAGGAATCCAAACAAATCACCCCGAGGATTGGAGATTTCTCTGTCACGTCCTCAAGGTAGGGGGTGATTATTTTTCCACATCCTTTTCTTTCAGTCACAACTTTATCGACAGTAGTCTACCATGTTTGTCAACAAAAACACATTTAGGGTTTGAATATCGTCATTCACTTTTGATATTATGACGTCACAATTGAACACGTGCTAATCGGCACGAGGCTATCTCCCCCTATGGGGGTGCCAAGCTAATCTTTCCCGCCTAAAACGAGAGACACAACTGTGAAGGGTGGGAGAAAATGACATCTACTAAACCCATAAGCAAGTGCTGCATTCCGTATTCTTACCTTACATTTATAATGTTTTGTTTTGTTTTGTTTAGTATTGTTTAACGTCCTATCAACATCTATGCTCATTTAAGGACGGCCTCCCCTTTGTGCAAGATGCATGCGTGTAGTGTATGCGTGTGTGGTTTGGGAGGCTGCTATATGTTCGTGTTTGTCTCCTTGTGAGAGAGCTTTATCGTGCTACCTCACTGAAACATACTGCCGAAGATACCCAGCAGGACACCCCACCCGGTCACATACTGACAACGGGCGAACCATTCGTCCCACTCGTAAATTGCTGAGCGTTAAACAGGAGTAATGTTGTGTGTAAAATCTGCGATGGTGGTAATATACAGCAACAAAGAAACGAACTTGGGAGTACAGAATAGATGAAGTAGAAGGTAAATACTACAATAATTATGGAGAATTTTATCAGGAAGAAATGTCTAGGCTTGTTTAGACAACCTGAAGTGGACAGTCAAGTTGAGGTCAATGTCGATACGAATATGACAACAACTGGAAAGAACATAAAATAGAAGGAAAAACACATATATAAATACGGCGCATTAGAGACAATATGGACCATTGCTTCCACTCAGTACATCCTTCAACACTAGTATCATAGTGTTAATTAAACGCTAAACTCTATTTCATTAGTGTTACCCGATGTCGCTGTGTGATACGTGAACTTGCTAGCGTATACACCCATTACTGGGGGGATAATGGATAACTTTCAAAATATAAACCATCGCTTAATTAAAGCTTGTTTATCTTACCATTAGTGCTAATTTAAAACGGTCTTCGGCAGTAAATTACTAATATAACTATATATCCAATGCGATAAATTATAGCTCTGAAAAAGCTTTTACGTGTATATAGAATATTGTAAATATTAACGAAAACTAATTGAAACAACATTTTAATTGATGATAACTCAACATTACGTATAATGTTGCGTGTATTTTCAAGATAAACGATGATCAGTTTAAAGTGTCTATGGACAAGTATACTGTTTATGGCGATATTAATATAATTATATTAATGCGTTGCAGCTTTTGATTTCCGTAAATATGTATAAAATATCGTTGCTTCCTTGTTGTGGCTTTGTTTTCTCGTAGCATCAATATACCGGTGCTGCTTTGAAACAGCAAAGGAAAATGTTAACAAAGTAAAAAAAACGACCGACTATCGGTGTTTTGTTAAAAATAAATATTCGATTCTCTATAGTAAGATGGTCTATAAATTATACCGTTAATATGATAGCAAAGCGTGTTTATATACAAACAGGTACATGCTTACTCACAGTCCACAGGACAGGTCCGGCTGTAGGGTCCCGTTACATCACATGGTTGTCACCGAAATCACATCGAAAATCCCAGTTAGTTCACATCATCTACAAGGGTGCATCCAATGATTAGTAAGGTTTTAACAATTAAGCACAAATTACAGATCTATTTTTATCGAAAATTACGACTCATCCGGGGAGATGTTGTTCAGTGTGGTGGGTATCTATTTATGGTCGACTTGACGTTGTGCTGACACCTTGCGGCCGGGCATTAAAGGACTGAAATTGCTATTGAAATTACCTTCAGCTTTATAAAGGACACAAACAATTCTCCAAACACATTATTTTTTAAATATTGTTGGATATATCATTATTTTCGAATTTAGGTTTTAATCACGATTATTTTGAATCCAAACTCAAAGTGTTTTCGTAAAAAGTTAAAAAGATTCATGGAATATTTTTCTGCATTAAGTTGTATATGCAGACGATACCTGGGCGAAGCTATATCGGCCATTGTGCCGACCCAGTCAGCTGTAAAAGGCGGCTCTTCGTTACCTCTTTATGCCACCTCCTCCCTTCATACGGGTACTGACGTATAAATCTTTCTCTCTTTATGTTGTCAAAACCTCCTTACACTCGCTTTACACACGTAGCTATTACTTTTATTATATTACACGGCCACCGTCCTTCGTTAATCATTGTATGTTCCTTATTTGAATTTTTACCACGTCGGTTTACGTTTGTTCAGTTTGTGTGATAAGTTTTTCAATCTTGAAACATTATACAAATCTACATACAGTGATATATGTTTCACAAATATATTTCTTTTTTCTTTTTGTGTGTATTTCGCTGTGGTATGTCTTGTAATCATTTAGTTTGAAATGTAGGGGTTGTTGGACCATGAAACATTATCCAAACGTAATGCAGCAATATATCACGTTCACGTCCTTATGTATACATATAAATTATATATATGGGGTAAAGAAGTAAATTATATATACATATACATGTATATTTAAATAATACATATACATGTATATATCTTTCTTATATTTTTTCGGTGATTTTGCGTGACTGTTAATGTAATTATGGACCAATATGGCATTTAGTAAGGGTTTGGGATATATTCTATAATTTTGTATAACATTTTATTAATAAAGAAATAAGAGTTATGTGGTATCCATAATATCGTTAATAAACTTATGCATTGTATATATATAACACATTGGCAGTTTACAAGAAGGAAACATTTTATAACGTTATCACATGTTACACAGCCTGTTTCAATATTAATTATTATTCGTAATATTAAACGCTTATTTAACTCACTGAGAAAGAAAAAACAAGTTTTTTATTCATAGAGGAAGAAAAGTACTTAATTCTAAACAACGAAAAATAACCAACAAATTTTAAGCCAAAAAACTATTTATGCTACGCGGAATCAACAGTAACATCTTCCTGAAAGTATCTCTGCAACTGCCCTTTTATCTCGCACACATACTGCAACAATTGATTTGATACGATTTTGTTTTTTTAAATTAATTGCCCCAAATATATTTTAACGCCCGAATTCCATCACTCAACTACGTACCAGCACGCCGGGGTCAAACCGCTGTCAAGCTCTCTACACCTCTCTTAACAATCAAAACGTTCTAAGTGTAGGAAATGATCACGCGTTGTATTGGTCAGGGGGTCATTGCTCCTAAAGCTAGGCGATTTAGTGCCGTATTTCGTGTGTTCGAAGCTAAGGTTGGATACCCCAATACAATTTTGTCTTTTATTCATAAATATTTATACTACTCATATTTTATAATTTCGTGTAGTAGTTTGCGGGACTGAATCTATATACCGCTAATTATTTCTGAAGGGATCGTAAGCTTTGACAATTTTGTTTTTGATGGCGTTTATTGCCCTCGCTTTAACATGGGTCATCTAAAGACGAGACGTTTTGACATATCTCGATATTAAATACTGATAACGATTACTTTGAATTAAAAGATATTGCACATTAAACCTTTTTCTACTGGAGATAACGTTTATACAAATCGAATGTAAAATGTGTAAGGCAGCGTATATCCGTGAAGCGACCTTCGACGAACACCAGTGAAACCATGATAGCAGACATGTGGTTGGTATTGACTGAGGACATATAAACTTGTAACGCAGGTTACGGGGACAGGGACATTGCCATTCATTCTTCTTCCATTGTCGAAATAAACACTCCCAATACAATGTTTATACTGTACCTGTGTTTCCTAATCCATCACACTGTCACTTTCGTTGTAAAGCAACGGCCTATGAACACCGGGATTTTTAAAGATTTATTTTCAATATATTAGGTTTTCGTGCTTTTAAACTAGACACGTGTTATCAACACCTAGTTGTTATATTTATAGAACAGTAAATTTGGAATGGTAAATAAAAATGATGCAGCATATTTCGAACTAAATTGAAAATATTCATAAAAGTACGTTTCACACTGGAATCGATATCATAGGCCATTTACCTGCACCATCCTTCAGTATTACCTGTACGAATTTATCACCATGGATTTTTATATAAGAGTATTGAAGCAAATCAGGGACACGTCAGTCAGGATTTTTTTGTAGGTATTTCAGCACAAGGTAACATAATACGCTGGTTAGATGATGGTAAACGAGATTACATATTGTCAATATTACTGGTCGATTTAATAAAGAATGGTACATTTCAAAAAATATAAGACTGATGATTTCCAGATACACTCAATATAAATTATTTATTTCATCTCAGAATATCTCATTGTATATATTCTAATTACGAGAGGAATAAGGCAGGAAGCAAAGCCTATGAAAGCCCTCTTCTTACACAAACATATTATTTTGGTAATATTAGAAATACTAGTGGGGCCTTATACGATATTAATATTATATTATTATTTTTTCCTCAAACTTTCACATTAGTATACAATATAGTTACAATATATATACATAACATGACATAAAACACAGATATATATAAAGACACACACTCATTCATTATCATACATACCAATACAATGATCAGAAAGAAAAGGTAGGATTGAATTTTGAATTTCTCTGTAAGCTAGCTGTCAGTTGTTTACTCAATATAACAAATGTATTTATAAAGTAATAAGTTACTTATGGTAATCAGTCGTAATTTCAAGTTTGGGTGTTTCAAAAAAAATAAAAAAATATGACGGTATTTATATCATCAAGTATCACAAATAATAGAATTAACGTAACAGTACCCAAAATGGATCACCAAACCAACATTTTTTCATTCATTGGGACATCGTGAACTGCCGCCCAGTACCAACTACGCTTTTAGATGAACAAATAAATAGGTCATATTTATACCAGCGGATATAAATTTGTATTTATGAACAGTCGAATTGGCTTATTTCTGCCTTAAATGCACCCAATTTTTTAAAATAATTTTATAAAATATACCTATTTTAATAAATATAAAAAAAAGAAAAAAATATGCATCCAAATTTAATTAATCCAGTCATCTGCATTATTAACTTACTTGAATTTGAGAAAAAAATGTGAAAGGTCTCACATAAAATGATGTCTGGATAGTGGAACAACCAAACTGATGGTGATATTCTACTGTACATGACAGAATAAAATCGTGTAATTCAAAGGAAAACACGAATAAGTACAATTAATATTATATTGTGAATCACGACCTAATTGAGTATAATATAACCGCAATGCTGTGCTGGGTGCCTTCGTCATGGTGTGTCAGTGAGATAGCACTATACAGTCGGCAATAGATCAGCGCTATTACAAGGAGGGAAGTACACCAACATACCCTGTCCCAGCATACATACACACATGCACACATACACAACACACACTGAGGCACGACCTTGACTTACCTTAGCTGTTAATAAGACGTTAAACAATATAAAACCAAACCAAATCGAATCTATTACGCATACTGAATAAATTCATGTAAAACACAGGTAAACATGAATAGGAACTATTTCAACCTAATGGACGTATATTACAGATGGGGTTCTCTGTAGACCAATCCATTACCAATTGAATATCATGTATCAGACACATGTCTCCTCAAGTTACCGTGGGCTAGTTATCCTACCGTAAGTATCAATTTATCTGAAAGAGTGAAGGAAGGTATGATGGTATTTAGGCATATTTCAATTGATAACGAATCAGTGTGTCAAAGCGGTATTCCTATCACCACCCAGGTCTATATAATGCACGGGACTGCCTTTGAGATATTCGTCTCTACCCTAGGATGTATATAATGTATGAGGCTATATATGGGACATTCATTAGCACCCAAATCCATGTATGTATATAATGTATGAGGCTATATATAGGAAAGTCATTAACACCCAAATCCATGTATGTATATAATGTTTTAGGGGTCTGTATGGGACAGTCATTAGCACCTAAATCCATGTATGTAAATAATGTTTTAGGGGTCTGTATGAGACAGTCATTAGCACCTAAATTCATGTATGTATATAATGTATGAGGCTATATATGGGAAAGTCATTAGCACCCAAATCCATGTATGTAAATAATGTATAGGGGTTTGTGTTGGACAGTCATAAGCACCTAAGGATGTTTATACTGTATTGGACAGTGGTAAGCATCCACGAATTTATTTACAGTATTTGGCTATCAATTTCAACATAAACTAAATTGAATTTATTAGTAAAATACAGGATGAATAGATTCGTATCCAAAGGTTTAAAACACCATGACTTTGAATCAAAATAAAATGAAATAGGATATTGAATGATATGTCCAGTGATTAAAATAGAGTTCGGATAGCTTCTCATTTGAACCAACAGGTAAAAGGTAGTTTTATATCTCTTCACGGGTGCTCAATTATTTTTTACTTGCTTAAATATAATCAGGAATTCTCTTTAAATGTATCCAAACAAATTTTAAAAAAAACACCGACTCTTTTCCTTCATTAAAATGAAAGTGATAATTACAAATTCTAAAAGGTCAATGTTGAAGTTTGAATTTCAATAATTTTGAGAAATATAAATGAATCAATTTTTCCTTTTTATGTTATAAAGTTTATGGTGTGTGCTGTATAAAGTCAACTATGGGTTAGAAATCCCATTAACACGAAACCTGTAAATAATCTCTCAGTTTCATGCCGGAAATTGATTCAATATTTGTGAAGGTAAGTAACCAGTTTTATGTGAGAGCAAGGTCGACAGCTGAGTTCACAAATATTG